GGGGTAGGCAGAAGGGTAAGTCCTATGTCCAGCATATCTGGTGTCCATGGACCATTGTTTCTGCTTTTCTTCCTCAAGCTTGAGTGTTAGCCCTCCAGACATCACACAAGCCCCCTGTGCCCAGGACCACAGTCTGCCTTGGTTCCTGAAGAATGGTTGGCATCCACTGGGGAGCACTAACTATCATTGATCACGTGCTCACTGGCCTATACAAGTCCTGCCCCATTTCATGCTCCTATGACCCTGGAAGGCAGGTATTAGTCTCATCCCCACCCTACAGATAATAAGCCTGAGGTTCAGAGAACCAGCTGCAGGCCCAGCAGGGGCAGATGTAGGCTCTCAGCCGCATGGCTACATTTGTCATTTTGTGGGTCCCATAGACATCTGTCTAATGAGTGAATAGGGGCATGCACATCCCATGCCCCAACAGAATCTCCAGGGTGGGACCAGCCCACCACATTAATTCACCTACCCTCCTTCCCTGCCAGTTACCTGGTGCCTCAGGCCCAGCCTGCTGACTACCACTGGTCAGACCTTTAGGTGTTTGGGTTTATTTGTTTTTTTAAGGTAAAATTCATAAAATAGAACCACTTTAGAGATTTTCCTGGTGGTCCATGGTTAAGAATCTGCCTTCCAAAGCAGGGGACATGGATTCAATCCCTGGTCGGGGAACTCAGATCCCACATGCCACAGGGCAACTAAGCCCATGCACCACAACTAGAGAAGACCCCATGGGCCACACCTGGAGAAATCCCAAGTGCTGAAAGCAAGAGACCATGTGCTACACTGAACATCCAGCACAACCAAAACAAAAGCAAACAACAAAAAAAAAACCTTAAGGTGCACAATCCCATGGCATTTAGTACATTCATAGTGTTGTGCAACCATCACCACAGTCAATTTTAGAACATTTTCATCATCCCAAAAAGAAGCCTTGTACCCTTTAGCAGTCACTCCCTGCTCCTCCCTGTCCCCTGGAAATGAAGTCTGCTTTTCTATCCCTATGGGATTCCCTGGTGGCTCAGAAGGTAAAGAATCTGCCTGCAATGCAAGAGATCAGAGTTCAATCACTGGGTCGTGAAGATCCCCTGGAGAAGGGAATGGCTACCCACTCTAGTATTCTTGTCTGGAGAATTCCATGGACAGAGGAGCCTGGCAGGGCTACAGTCCATGGGGTCGCAAAGAGTCAGACAGGACTGAGCAAGAAAGGCCTTTCTATCTCTACTGATTTGGTTACTCTGGATATTTCATGTAAATGGAATCGTAAGATATGTGGCCTTTCATTTCTGGCTTATTTCACTTATCTTACTGTTTTTACGGTTCATCTATGTTGAAGCACGTGTCAGTACTTTGTCCCTTTTCATGGCTGAATAATAGTCCATTGTGTAGATGAACCACATTTTCTTCATCCATTTTTATTCTCTATGGACATTGGGCTGTTTCCCCCTTTTGGCTACAGTGAGTACTGCTGCTGTGAACAGTGATAGTCAGGCTTTTGTTTTAACACCTGTTTTCATCTCTCTTGGGATTATACCTAGGTGTGGAATTGCTGAGCCATGTGATAATTTTGTATGTAACTTATTGCACAGCCACCAAACTGTTTCCATAGCAGCTATACTGTTTTCTATTCCTGCCAGCAATGCATGGGCTCTAGTGTCTCCATACCCATACCAATGCTTGTTGTTATCGATGTTTTCCTTTGTTTTTGTTTTGGCTGCACCACATGGCTTGCTGGATCTTAGTTCCCTGGCTAGGAATTGATCCCAATCCTTGGCAGTGAAAGCACTGAGTCCTAACCACTGTACTCCCAGGGAATTCCCTGTTTTCCATATTTTTGATCACAGCCATCCTAGTGGGTGTGAAGTATTATCTAAACTTCTACTGTTCAATCCAGGGTCCCTTTCCTCCCACGTGTCAGGGCCACAGTGGCCTCGGGGCTGAGTGCAGGTAGCCTGGAAACTGAGGCCAACCTGCTGTCCTGGGAATCTCGCTCTCAGATTTAGGGAGCTGAAGACTGAGTTGGAGGAGTCCGAGGTGCAGAAGGTAAAGCTGGCCCTTGAGGGAACAGAGCCAATCTGTGAGAGTCGAGAGGAGAAGGAGGTATGAACAGCTCCAGAAGGCTCTCAGGAGCTGTTGCCCCTGGGAGTTGGGGTCTGGGGTCTAAAGCTTTACAGAAGAGGATGTGGGAAAGGCAGAGATATGGAAGGACAGGGAAGTTCTGGGGGAGGCTCTTCACTACTGCTAGTAGTGTTGAATAAAGCAAACAGGAACTCATTTTGGTCAAAGTGCAGGCTAAATCTCATTACAGCAATGCTAGTGAGTGCAGCATGCAAGCTCCCCCCTCACACTGGAATTCCATTGGCAGTCGTAACTGCCTTTCCCGCAGCGCTGAGCACTTTCACGCATGGGCTCCCGTAATCCCACAACAGCCCTCTGATGGAGGTATGGTCGTTGCCCCGCTTTAAAGAAGAGGAAACGGAGGCACACAGAGAGGTCATGGAGCTTGCCCAGGATCTCCTGCCAGGAAATGGCTCAGAGCCAGGTCCGTGTGAAGCAGAACCCTACGAAATCTTGCCATCCGGCTGGAAGCAGCATTTCCCTGCCTGGGACTTAGAATAACAGACTCTTAGATGGAGAAGGTTCCTGGGGCACGTTCTCCCCAATGCCTAGGAACACCTTCAAATGGGGGAACCTGTCTTTGAAGTGCCTGCCTCTGGCCAGTCCTATGGAGGGCCTGTATACTGACCTGACAAGCGCAATGTGGCAAGCGTGGGTTTTTGAATGAACAGCGCTCACACTCAGCTCTTCCTCTATCACTTCTGAGTCTCAGGTCCTCTCAGCAGGAAAATGGGTGCCCAGCTGCCCCATGGCTGCTTGTGGGGAGGCCCTCTGTCACAGTCTGCCCTCTTCTCCATTGAGTGACTCCAGCCAAGGCTAACCTCTGGGGCACCTCAGCCTTATACGAGGCTTCGCGGTTGAAGTTACAACTTCAGCCTCACAGAGAAGCTCTCAAGGGCCCTGTCTGGTCTCTCACTGTATCTTCTGAGAGACCGCTGGAGCAGCTTGCTGTGTGTGTGCGGGGTGGGTGTGGTCACTGTTTACCCCGCAGCTCAGTACCCAGTCCAGGGACTGGTGAGGAGGACAGTGCTTGGGGCCAACACGGCAGGAGGGGAAGGCAGGGGCAGGGGTCCCTGGTGTGGCCAGAAGCTCTGGCAACCTCTCTTCTCCTGCCTCAGAGGGGCTGCAGGTGCCTGCCTCCCTGGGGACACAGCTTCCCCACTGCCCCGAGTCAGGAGGGAGCCCAGGAAGCTGTGCCACAGCTCTAGACCCCTGTCCCGAAAGGCAAGGTCTATTTCTTATCTTCGAAATGGCTTAATGACATCCGGGGAGCTGTGACTGGGAGGGGAATGAGAGGTCTATCTACCAAAGCTGTCTATGGTGCTTTGTGTGTGTGTGTAGGGCAAATAAATGCCCCCTTTTTTTATTTTGTCTGTCCACCCAGCCCGGAACAAGCCCCTAAGTAAGCAGCTTCCCCCCCCCACCCCATTTTTGGTTTCTGAGAAGGGTTCTCCTTCTGTCCCAGTGAGGTGCGCTGGGAAGGTGAGATGAAGGGGCAGATACACTTTATTGCCCGGAGGTCACTGAACAGAGACCAAACCGGCAGCTCTTCCATCCTGGCCCACGCCCCAGTGTCGGCTGAGGTTCTTGGGGGTCCCTGCACGGGATGCAAAGCCAGAGCACACGCGGGGAGGAACCAGGACGCCACCCCGAGGCCCACCGACCTCGGTAAGTGGCGGCGCCCCCTCTGCCCCCACTGCCTCCGAGGGCCCCCCAGAATCTGTCCACCCAGGCGCGGGACAGGGCGACTCCCCCGTGGCGCCGTGCTGCGGCGCCCAGTCCCTCCCGCAGGTCGCCGAGGGCGCCGGGGCCTCGCGCCACACCTGTCCGCTCCTCCGGGAGGCCCCGGCGCCTCTGCTGCCAGCCCCTCGGCGCGGAGCCCTGTGTCCGCCGTCGCTTTGATCCCGGGGGCCTCGCTGGATAAAAGTCCCGGGCGGCTCCGCGCCAGCGCCAGAGGGGAGGCAGCCGAGCCGGGCGTACAGCGGGCTGGCGCTGGGCGAGCGACGCCAAGGAGCCGGGGCCGCGGGGCCGCCCGCGCGGGCCGCGGTGAGCGCGGGGCTCCGGGCCGGTTCGGGGTGGGGGGTGCCGGCCGGGGTGCCTGTCGCCCGCAGCTGCTCTGGGCCTGGGCGGCGGGAGCGAAGGGCCCCCGGCGGCTCAGGTGAGCGCTCCCCTTGCGCCCCCAGCCCGTCGGGCCGACCCGCCGCGTGGCCAACCGAGCTCCCCCCCGCGCGGAAAAACCCCGCTCCTTCCCCGCTGGCCCCCGCCCGCCGCCCGCCGCCCGCCGCCCCTTCCAGCCGCCCGGGGGCGGGGGCGGCGGCGCCGGGCTGGCCGCGGTGAATGAGCCGCCGGGGCCGCCGGGCCGCGCTGCCCCCCACGGAGCCGGGCCGGGAGCGCCTCCGGCGGCCGCGGCGGGGTAGTCCAGGCCCCTCCGTCAGGCTTGCGGTTTGGGAAGAAAAGGCGATGCCTCCGCCAAGAAAAGAGCGAGCGCGGCCCCCTCCCCCTCCGCCGAGCCCGGGCGGCGGCGGCGGCGGCACATCTAACGCGCGGGCACCCGGGCCGCCGCGGCCCCCGCAAACTACGCCCAGGCTCGGCCCCCGCCGCTCATTGGCGCGGGCCGGAGCCAGCGCACCCAGACCCTGCGCTGCCCTCGGCCGGCAGCGCGCGGAGTCCCAGCTGCCCAGGCCGACGGCGCCCGGCTCCGAGAGCCTCGACGCCGAGCCGCCCGCGCCTCCTCGGCCGGGCCCAACGCGGGGAGCGGGGCGATCGAGCAGGCGCGGCTGGCGCGCCGCGGCCCGGGCGCCCCCGGCCTGGCGCCCTCGCCGCCGCGCCGCCTCAACGCCGCCTGCTCTCCGCAGGTGGCCGCGGGCCCGAGCGGTGCGGCCATGGGCCGAGGGGTGCGCGTGCTTCTGCTGCTGGGCCTTCTGCACTGGGCCGGGGGCGGCGAGGGCAGGAAAACCTGGCGGCGCCGCGGCCAGCAGCCACCCCCGCCGCCGCCCCCGCCGCGGGCCGAGGCGGCCCCGGCAGCCGGGCAACCGGTGGAGAGCTTCCCTCTGGACTTCACGGCCGTGGAGGGCAACATGGACAGCTTCATGGCACAGGTCAAGAGCCTGGCTCAGTCCCTGTACCCCTGCTCGGCGCAGCAGCTCAACGAAGACCTGCGCCTGCATCTCCTGCTCAACACGTCAGTGACCTGCAACGACGGCAGCCCGGCCGGGTAAGGCCTGCACCCGCCCGCTGCGACCGGCGCGCCCCCGTCGGTGGCCCCGGGACTGCCTGGTCGCCAGCGGGTGCGCACCATCCGCCTCCCTGTCCCCGCTCAGACGCACGGAGCCTGCATTGGACCGTCCCTACTGGCCGCAGCGGTGGTCGCCCACAGGGGAAAGGGCTCCCGTCGGGCCTCGGAGGCGCTGGCTCCGGGTAGGGCCCTGCTAGGCGACTAGCCGCGCGGGGGTTGGGGCAGCGCTGGTCCTGGGCCAGCCCCGGGCACTGACCCCTCGGCCACCGGTACCCAGCCCCTGTGCTCGCGTTCTTCGCTCCCTGGGCGGGGAGATGGCAGTCCGCGAGTGGCCCTGACTCCAGCAAGAGGAGGTGACACGGGGGGTGGGGAGATTCCTGCCGTCCGTACCCCCACCCCCATCCCAGCTCAACTCGCCCTGTCTGTTCCATGCTGCTGCTGGGACTGCCAGAGATCCAGCCAGCCAGAGGGATAGGCAGGGGGTGCAGGTGGGACAGAAGGACCTAGGGTGCGGCATTCACCTCCTCTCCAGCCCCTAGCAGATGAAGGATGAGAGGCAGAGGGTTGGAGAGGGGTTTAGGGGTTCCCATGCCCTCAGTGACTCCACAGCCTGAGGAATACGACGTTAGGTCCGGCCTTGGTAGGAAGGATGCGACCCCGCTTCGATGGCGCCCGCTCCCCTCCACTCCCGCCTGTGCGACCCCGATGCCCCTGCCCCACGCACACTCGAGAGTGCTTTTCACTCTCCAAGCCCCACTGCGCATCCCAGGAGGATCTCAAGCCCTGGCAAAGACCCCACCCCCCACCCCGCCCGGCCTCCGGCGCCGAGGTTACAGCGGGTCCCGCGCGGGGCGGGCCGTGGGGATTTTCCACGGACCACACAGCCCCTCGCCGCTCTTCCCCGCCTCGCGAGCGCCACCTCCCGGGACTGACCGCGGCTGGCCCTGCCGGGCGCGCTCTGCGGGGGCCTGTCCGCTGGCGCCCCCGTGCGGCCGGCGCGTGCCCGGTGACAGGTGGAATGACCCCCATCTCCCTGGAGCTGGACCCTGCAGCCCCTGCCCGCCCCTCCATCCTGATGACCACGCACTCCGCCCACTTCCCTTGCAGCTACTACCTGAAGGAATCCAAGGGCAGTCGGCGATGGCTACTCTTTCTGGAAGGTGAGTCTCAGGTGCGGATGCGGTGGGGCAGGAGGAGGGTCCCCTCAGCACTGGACCCTGAGGTTGTGATCTGCGCCCGCAGGAGGCTGGTACTGCTTCAACCGGGAGAACTGCGACTCCCGATATGACACCATGCGGCGCCTCATGAGCTCCAAGGACTGGCCCCGCACTCGCACAGGTCAGCGCGCCAGGGATTGCCCAGGAATTCCCAGGGGGTGGGGCGAAGGGGAAGGAGATCATAATTGAAAGTACTGGAAGAAGCCTCTTCTCCTTCATTATGTAGAGCCCCCAGAGAGGCCCCACCCCATCTATCCCCCAACCCACCAAGGTCAAGGAACATTCACTGTAACATTTCATTCTTATTCCACAGGTAACTTCCCAGGGCTCATCCTGGCTACACAGTACAGAGCTGGTCCCTGATCAAAGTAGCTGGTGGAAGGGGGGAGGTTGAAGGTCATGTCCAAAAGTCACAGCCCAGCTGGGCATCCTGGTCATGGAGACTCCTTAGAGTAACTAAACCCATCCATTCCCTACTTCCCTGGCAACCTTGGTTCAGGCGGGTGTCACCACCCACCCCCTTGCTGAATGAAGCTTGGTAGGATCCCTCCACATCTGCTCACCTTCCTGTAGTCCTCACCCCTGCCTGCATGCCCTGCTCCCACCAGAAAGACCCACTGCCTCTGTCCTCCCCTGCCACAGGCACGGGGATCCTGTCCTCCCAGCCAGAGGAGAACCCCCACTGGTGGAATGCCAACATGGTGTAAGAGGGAGCCAGAAGATCCTTCCTGGGGGGGGGTCCTGTCCTTGGGGGTCCTTTCTGGAGGCTGCTTCCTAAGAGGTTCTTAGGGGAAGTCCATCCTGGGGGATCCTGTCCTTAAGGGGGTCTGGTCCTGGGAGTGGTCCTTTCTAGGGAGGTCCTGTCCTCAGGAGTCCTTCCCAAGAAGGGTGATCCTTCCTGTGGTCCTCGGGCAACAGAGGAGCATGGCAGGCTCACACCATCCATGTGTCACAGCTTCATCCCCTACTGCTCCAGCGATGTGTGGAGTGGGGCTTCATCCAAGTCTGAGAAGAGTGAGTCCCATGCCTTCCCTCCCCCGCCCCCCCAACCCCCCACCCCCTTCACCTCCCCCCTGCCCCCACAGAGGCAGGGCAGGGAGGACAGAACTTCTGGGGAAATACAGACGTTCAGCCTTGTGATTCCTTCTAACCCTTCGATAGTATATCCCAGGGTGCTGGCCCCAGCACCCACTACCTGGCTTGTCCATGGCTGGCCTGGCCCTGGGGGAGTGGGTTCCTCACTCCTAGGTGTTCCCCGAGAGGGGCCCCCAGCACAGCCTTGTGTACCTGAGTCATCTTCCTCCAGTCTACCCCTGCCCCTGTTACCATCCCCGGAAGACCCTCCAGACACCCAGCTATACCTGACCTCCTTCCAACCTGGGGATGGGAAGACTGGCTGGCTGTCCAGGACACCACTTGAAGCCAGCCCTCCTTCTCTGTGCAGACGAGTACGCCTTCATGGGCACCCTCATCATCCGGGAGGTTGTGCGAGAGCTCCTGGGCAAAGGGCTGAGTGGGGCCAAGGTGCTGCTGCTGGCAGGGAGCAGGTGGGCTGGGCCGGGGCTGGAGTGGGAGTGTGGATGGAAGGGAGAAGATGGGGCTGAGCCAGGGCAGACGCATGGCCAGGAGGCTCAGCAACATGGGGCGTCTCTGAGGTTTGGCTCCTGTATGCCATGTGGCTGGAAGCTGTCCCGCAGACACTTCTGGCTCCATGGTTGTTGGGTGTGAGGGAGGCTTTGGATCACAGTGACCTAGGCAGTTGACTAGGGGCTCGCTGTGGACTGATGCACCGCCAAGGGCTGGGGTCCCTGTAGGCAAGATCACATCCGCTGGTTATTGTATCCCAGCAGGCATATAAGGGACTCAGGGGTCATCTAAGGAATGGACAGAGGGGCCTGGACCACAGAATTCACCTTCATTTTCAGATAAGGGAACTAAGTCAGAGAGTGAGAAGGGGGAGAGGGAAGGAGGGGTCGGAGGAAGAGAGATGACCCGACACTTAGCTCTGCATCAGTGCCTGGAGCTCTGCCAGCCCTTCTCTGCCTCCAAGACCTGGAAGGGCCCAGGGCCCTTACACATGAATACAGAACGTGGTGGCAACTCATAATGCTCTTGGCTCCCTGTGCCCTGGGGAATGGGCTTGGGGCTGGGCAGACCTGGTGGGGGAGTGTCCTTCCTCAGTCTGCCTGGCTTGACCTCCCACCTTCCCTGCAGTGCGGGGGGCACAGGGGTGCTGCTGAACGTGGACCGTGTGGCCGAGCAGCTGGAGGAGCTGGGCTATCCAGCCATCCAGGTGCGGGGCCTGGCTGACTCCGGCTGGTTCCTGGATAACAAGCAGTACCGCCGCACAGACTGCATCGACACCATCACCTGCGCGCCCACGGAAGCCATCCGCCGAGGCATCAGGTGCCCCGGGAGGGAGGGCCCGTTCTGTGCAGAGGGCCTGGGACTGGGTGGCATCACGGGATGGAGGAGCTCATGGGGGCTGGGTGGGAGGTGGGTGAGCAGCCTAACCTGCAGTGTGTGGCCTAGGTACTGGAATGGGGTGGTCCCAGAGCGCTGTCGGCGCCAGTTCAAGGAGGGCGAGGAATGGAACTGCTTCTTCGGCTACAAAGTCTACCCAACTCTGCGCTGTGAGTGGGCACACAGGGTGGCGGGGGGGTGGCCAGCCTTTCTGTGTCTGCTGGAAACCCAGCCTGGAGTCCAGCTCTCAGAGGCTAGGCCCAGAGACCACTGCCACACCCAAGAAGGGTTGACAGAGTCATCTGAGCCTGGCTGGGATTTTCTCAGTTTTAGCACTAAAAGTCCACTCGGTTCAAGGCAAACTCTAGGATGGTTGGTCACGCTGACCACACCCATGGTGAGGAACGTGCCTTGGAGTTGAATCCAAGCGCTGTCCCTGTGTGGGGCCTTGGCTGTCCCTCGCCAGCACCACACTCGAAGCGACATAATCGCCATGTTTTGGTCAAAGCGGAGTCCTGGGAGCCAGGCCAAGGGGGGAGGAGGGGACGAGGCACCTCTTCAAGGCAGGGTGCCCGGGGGACTAGTCGCCAGCACTCTGCAGGCAGAGCCTGGCTGGCCCGTGAGCCTGCTGCAGAGCTGGCTGTGGCCTCAGGCCCTGGAGCCTGGGGTGGGGGCGCAGCTCCCAGGCGAGGCCCAGCTGAGCCGTCCCCCCAGGCCCGGTGTTCGTGGTACAGTGGCTGTTTGACGAGGCCCAGCTGACTGTGGACAACGTGCACCTCACGGGGCAGCCGGTGCAGGAGGGCCAGTGGCTGTACATCCAGAACCTGGGCCGCGAGCTGCGCAACACACTCAAGGACGTGCCGTGAGTGTGCGGGGACCCCACTCGGCCCCCCGATACGTAGAGGCCGCAGAGATGGAAAACAGGAAGCAGCCCAGGGGTCCTTGAGGTGATCAACTGTGGTCAATGTAGACAAAGGGGTATCGCCCAGTGCTAGAGAGGAGTGAGCAAATGAGCCGTGAAAAGAGGAGCTGTAAATGCATGCTACCAAGTGGAAGAAACCAATCTGAAATGGCCGCATGTGATTTGATTCCAACTCTATGACATCGAACCCAAGTCTTTTGCATCTCCTGCATTGGCAGGCGAATTCTTTACCACTGTGCCACCTGGGAATCCCCTATGACATCCTGGAAAAGGCATAACTATGGACACAGTAGAAAGATCAGCAGTGGCCAGGGGCTGGGAGAGAGAGGTATAAATAGGTGGAGAACAGTAGATGTTTAGGGCTGAGGAACTGCTCTGTATGGTACCACAATGGTAGACATATGTCATTACAGCAGTAGTAGTGTTAGTCGCTCAGTCATGTCCGATTCTGCAACATGTAGCCTGCCAGACTCCTCTGTCCATGGAATTCTCCAGGCAAGAATAGTGGAGTAGGTAGCTATTCCCTTCTCCAGGAGACCTTCACAACCCAGGGACTGAAGCCCAGTCTCCTGCATATAGGCAGATTCTTTATCATGTAAGCCACCAGGGAAGCCCCCGTGTCATTATACATTTGTCCAGATTCATAAACAGTACAACTCCAAGGATGAACCCTGATGTAAACTATAGACTGGGTGGTGATAATGTGTCAGCTAGGTTCATTGATTGTAACAAACATACCAGCTGGTGGGGGATATTCATGATGGGGGAGGCTGTGAATGTATAAGAGCAGGGGATGAAAAAGAATCTATATCTTCCATTCAATTTCAATGTGAACCTAAAACTTTTATGAAAAACTAAAGTCTATTAAAAACAAATATTCACCTGTCCAGCAGAGCCCCCACTCTGAGCAGGATTTGGAGGCAGAAAGGGACAGGGGTTAGTAGGGCACCTGGGAGCTGGTGGGGATAAGGCCTGGGGGAGCCAGTGGCCAGCACAGCAAGCGGCAGGAGGGAAGTAGGAGCCAGTAGGGGACAGCCTCCCAGGAGAGGAGCTGTGACCTGTGCGTTTTGGGGTGGAGAAGGAGCTGAGGTGGGATGTGGTTGCTCACAAGTTGCCCTCTCCCCAACAGGGCCAGCTTTGCCCCCGCCTGCCTCTCCCACGAGATCATCATCCGAAGGTCAGTGCACCCTGGCCCCAGGACAGCTCGTATCCGTGGCTCTTGATCCAGACATCTGCAACGCCCCCATCCCCAGCAGGCCTGCCCACCAGCCTCCCCAGCTCTGGCTTCTTCTGAGGGTTTTCAAAACCACTTGCACAACCAGCTGTGTGGCAAGATCTCAGTGGTGGCAATGCCGTTCCCTGCTTTGGCCACACCCGAGTGATCCCAACCTGGGTTTCTGTCTGCAGCCACTGGACAGACGTCCAGGTGAAGGGGACCTCGCTGCCCCGGGCGCTGCACTGCTGGGACCGAAGCCTCCACGACAGCCACAAGGCCAGCAAAGCCCCCCTGAAGGGCTGCCCCATCCACCTGGTGGACAGCTGCCCCTGGCCCCACTGCAACCCCTCGTGCCCCACCATCCGGGACCAGTTCACGGGGCAGGAGATGAATGTGGCCCAGTTCCTGATGCACATGGGCTTCGACGTGCAGACGGTGGCACAGCAGCAGGGCCTGGAGCCCAGTAAACTGCTGGGGATGCTGAGCAGCGGGAGCTAGGGCCCTCTGCCCCAGCCATCTCCCCTCCAGGCCCTCCTGCCCTCCTAGGACTGCAGGGCCCCGGCCGTCCCCACCCTGGGTCTGGACGCCCTCCCCTGGCAACCTTCACTGTCTCTCTCCTACTGCCTCTGAGGGGCCCCGGCCAGAGACGGTGGACCTGCCATCAGCCTGGCTGTGGTCCTTGGCCCCCTCCCGCCCCTCCCTCCTGACACCCCCCCCAATTCCCATCCCCTCATTCCTACCCCCCCCACTCCCTCCACCTCCAACCCACGGTAGGGAGCCAGAAGCACTGGATTCCTCAGCCTCCAGCCCAGAAGGCACCCTCCCCCAGCCCAGTCCCCCAGCCTCTCCTGCCCTTTTGTATTATTTTATAAAGTGACTTTTTTATTAATTTTTTAAAAAAAGAAAAATAAGCAAGAAATATATAGTGAATGATATTATTTTGTAACATATTTTTTTTAAATAATGAAGAAAAGATAACAAAAGAGCCTCACCCTGTAGACGTGTTTATTTGAGGGGGCACTTTGCCTGCTTCACACCCCGACTCGCCGGACCCCCTACAAACCCAGGGCAGCAGGGAGAAGCTGAGAGGGACTCTGGGGCCTCCTGACCTCCAAACTTTGCTCCTTCTGTTCATCCTTTCCACACACAGCAGTAACGGGCCTGTCTCAGACAAGCCCCCAACATGGTTTTAAGCTCCCTTTCCTCTTTATTTTGATCTTGGGGTGGCATTCACACCACACCTCCACCATTTCTAAGGGCATGACTTGGCATTTGTACATCTACAATGTTGTGTCTCCAACAGCAACCTCCACTTTCAAAACTTTATCACAAAACACTCCCTCCCCAGCTAGCACGTTCTTTGAAGTTTGTATTGTATTTATTTTCACAACATCACACATGCACATGGTCCAGAATTTGAAAGAGGCAGAATTTTGGAGGGTGAAAATTCTCCCTCTAGGCCAGCCCTTGGCTCTGCTTCTGTGGTTAGTCCCAGAGGACACAGCCTCCCTATAAATACACACACACACACACACAAACACACACAATCTTGTCCTTCCACGTGTGACTGCACACCACACATTCGTTGTCTGGTTTCTACCTCCCGCTGCAACTTGGGGCTGAAGAGAACATTCCCAGTTTTCAGTGAGCCCTGTGCTTCATACCCTCTTCAGTTACAAAGGGCGCCGCGTGACTAGTCTGTGTCAGCGCCACTGCACACAGGCTCACAGGCCGGCATCTCCATGGAGGCACCCCGAGGTGGCATGGGAAGATAGTGAGCCCCTGTGGGTTTTCTGACATATTGATAAGCACCCCCTCCGAAGGTGGCCAGGTCATGACTCTCCAACAGACCTGGCTTTCTCAGCACTCCCTGCCCTAAGTGCCCCACACATGACACCCTGATTCCCCCGGGTGCCCAGCAAGTAGGTCTTATTACAGGTTCCAATTTGCAGATTGGGATAGTGAGGCCCTCGGACTCCCCTGGTGGTCCAGTGGTTAAGAATCTGCCTCCCAATGCAGGGGACATGGGTTCAATCCCTGGTTGAGGAGTTAAGATTTCCCACATGCCTTGAGGCCACTAAGCCCCCACCCCCCCCCACCCCCAGCCACAACAAAGGATCCCACATGCTGGAACTAAGACTTGATGCAGCCAAATATCTTAATAAAAATTTTAAAAAAGAAACAGGCCTGAAGAGGCTATGTGAAGGGACAGAAGAAGGATTCATGCCTGGTCTCTGCTTCTATCCTCCGACCACCCAGCCTCTCTCAGGCAGCCTGCAGCTTCAATCCCAGAGTGGGGAGAATCATGGAGACCCCGTCCTCTCAACGCCCCCCCTAGACTGGGAGTATGCCCTGAGGTCTGACCAGCTCTGGACCCACCAAAGTTGGCTTCTCCAAGGGGAGCTTAAATGACCCATCTGTGGTTTCCTCTGTGGACAGCTCCCATGGGAGGTCACAGAATCTCAGCGACCCAGGGAGACAGTGAGGTCAGGGAGGGGTGTGGCCAAAGGCTGGAGATGAAAGAAGGGGGACCCTGGGGTGGCTGCTGGTTTGGGGAGCAGCCTCCTTGGAAGGGCATGAACAGGGTTCCCAGCGTGACAGTGGGCTTCCAGTGGGAGAGGGGGCTGGGAGGACCCAAAAGGGGCCTGGCTTTCACCTAGCAGGGGAGACTTGCATGGAGGGAGGGGTCCATGCTGCGGTCAAAGCTGGGCCTCTGGGGGAGGGACCCCAGAGGCGCTGGCTGGAGGCCAGTTCTTTGTGTGGAGAAGGGCGGCAGGTGGTGACATCAGCACAGACAGATGCTTTACTCTGTATGAGGTGGGCTGAAAAGAGTAACAGTGTGGCTTTGTGAGTCTGGGGCGTGCCAGGCCCACTGAACATTATACTTGTGGGTTAGGCCCGATGGGATTTCACCAAATGAATAAATCCTTTCTCGCCATGTTCCTGATAAAGAAGGAAGGAAGCTTAGCTTACCTCCAGTGTCTGCGCCTTACTGTGAGCGTTGTTCAGTTGCTCAGTCGTGTCCGACTCTGCGACCCCATGGACTACAGCGCACCAGGCTTCCCTGTCCTTCACCATCTCCCAGAGCTTGCTCAAACTCATGTCCACTGAGTCAGTGATGCCATCCAACCATCTCATTCTCTGTTGTCCCCTTCTCCTCCTGCCTTCAATCTCTCCTAGCATCAGGGTCTTTTTCAATGATTTGGCTCTTCACATCACGTGGCCAAAGTACTGTGGGTACCATTGGCAAAATGAGCCTGGGACCCAGAAAGAGAGTGAGTGATGCCAAACCTGTAGTGTTCAGTGCATGATCAATGTGATAGGTGGAACTGTCTACCCTGACGTCCCAACTTCTTTTATTTTTCTTTTGTTTTTTTGGCTGAGCCACGGTGCAGGTAGGACCTCAGTTCCCCAACCAGGGATTGAACCCATGCCCTCTAGAGTGGAAGCAGCCAATTCTTTTTTTTTTTTTTTTAATTTAATTTCTTTGGCCACTCTGAGTCTTCATTGCTTTGCTCGGGCTTCCTCTGGTGACAGAGAGCAGGGGCTACTCTTCACTGTGGCACTCAGACTTCTCACTGCAGCGGCTCCTCTTGTTGCAGAGCATGGGCTCTAGGGCCCCAAGACTTCAGCAGTTACTGCTCTCAGTCTCCAGAGTGCATGCTCAGTAGTGGTGGCATACAGGCTTAGTTGCCCCGAGGCATGTGGAATCTTCCCAGACCAGAGAACAAACCTTTGTCCCCTGCACTGGCAGGCAGATTCTTAACCACTGGACCGCCAGAAAAGTCCAGATCTTGGTCTCTTACACTGTCTCCAATAACAGGAACCAGGACTTCTTGGAAAACACCTGATTCTAAGGTTGGTGAGAAATGCACAGGATGAACCTAGGGCATCTTGCAGTGCCTGCAGTGAGGAGGTGCTGAAAAACAACCCCAATCCCCACTGATGGTGTCTGTCAGGGGACACTTGGAAGGCTTTGAGCAGCAGAATAAAAAATGTAGTTTTGGATTATAACCCAAAGTATAAAATGAATGTCCTCAAGTCGATCCTGATAGAAGTAAATAATTGAAGAAAGTAAGTGAGGGAGAAAAGACCAACCTGTTTGCAGCATTCCAAATAATTTATGTTGATACTGTCCCCTCAAGGTGGGGGAGAATACACTCCCCTTAAGTGTGGGCCACAACTGTGGGTCCCCTCCCCAGAGAGAACAGGATGGGGAAGGGGAGAAAGAAAGAGGAACTCCTCAGAGGTGACACCTGACAGACACACCTCAGCAAAGTCATCAAGGGCAAAAGGTGGGGAGTCATGCTGAGAGCACTGGCCCTGCGGGACGTGATGAGAAGGGCACTTTCCCTCTGTGGCCTTCCTCCCTAAACCCACAAGCCCAGACTAATAACAAGAAAAACATCAGACAGGCCATTCTGTCATCCCTGCCCAGCCCTCCTCCAAACCATCAGGGTCGTTCAGACCAGGAAAGTCTGAGAGACCCTCCTGGCCAAGAGCAGATGAAGGAGATGTGACGACTACTTGTCACGTGAGGTCGGAACAGGTCCTGGAGCAGCCGGAGGGCGTGAGGTTAAACCTGAGGAAACCTGAATAAATGCTAATAATAATGTATTGATATGATATGCCAGTGTTGTCTCATTAATTGTAACAAATGTTCCGAAAGATGTTTCCAATAGAACACACTGGATGTGAGGAATATAGGAGCTCTTTCAGTCAATTTCTTCTGTGTGTCTACTGTTGTTCTAAAAATAAAGTCTATTTCAAAATTTTGTAAAAGCAAGTTTTTGTTTTTTTTTTTTTTTGCCACACTGTGTGGCACATGGGGTCTTAGTTCCCCGACCAAGGCTTGAACCCATGCCCCCTGCAGTGGAAGTGCAGTCTTAACCACTGGACCTCCAGGAAAGTCCTTTATTTTTATCTATGTATTTAAAAAAATTTTAAAGCAGCTTTTTAAAATTTATACAAGAATATAAACCTAACCATGTTTAGAACTGTAGGAAAATGTACTTCATTTATTTTTTTAAATTATTCTCTTTTCCTGGTTTAGGAAGTAATAGTTATTAGTTTAAAACTGGGAAAATACTGAAAATCCAAAGGGCAGAAGCACCTGCTGCCCCACACCTTGGAGGTGATGGCAAGGCATTCTCAGGAGTTTACCCAGCCTTTCTATCTTCGGACGCATATGTGCCCACGGGCCCTTTAGTCTTCCACACTGCCCCTATGACCTCCTGCCTTGTCACCCTGCTCTTCTCCAAGGTGACCTCAAAGCAACCTAAGTGTCCCTCACACAGGTATTCCTTAGTCTACTCACCCGTCCCTACTGCTGAACTTTAGGTGATTTCCAACCAAACTCACTTAAAATGTTGTTGAAATTTCAGTATTATGAGAAGTTATTGATCTAGGATCACTGTGCTTCTGTAATTGTGACATATTAGCAAAAACTCAAAAGCAAAACACATTGTGGCCAAGCAGCCCGGTGGCCGACCACTTGG